TTACTTCTGACCCACTTGTTTATGTTGCTTATATTTACTCAAATAGTTAATAAATTGAGTTAATTGTTAAAAGTCAAATATCATGTGACAATTAGCATAAAACACTAAACTTACATCAGATAAAATTCCTTATTCATTCCTGGCTTAATATATAAGTATATCATATACTTATTCAATTTAATGAATATGATTAATATATAAATTCTAATTAAATTAAGAATAAAAGAATAGCTCAAACTAATAGCCATATCATACTGAATGATGAAGCATTGTTAAATGCATTTCCCAGAAAGTAAGAAAAAGATAAGATCCCTATTATCTTCACTATTGTTAATCTCTGTTTATCCCCTATGAATTAAGATAAAAGCAGTACTATAATGTGTAATTGTTTATAATATATTAAGCAGAAGGAAAGGCAGATTATAAAAGAACAAAAAATATACTATTTATATTAAAAACTAGATTGCAGAATACATTTTTTAAAGGATAACAATTGTTATCTCTGAAAGGTAATATTTTGAGTGACTTGAAAAATAATTTCTTTGAAAATCTCCATGATTTGCTCTACCATAACCATTGTGTTTTTCTCATTAAAGTTGTTTCACTATAGTGTACTAGGAACCTGATATAAAATATAATCACTGTGTTCCATAAGTACTCATTTATTAAGCATCTGTTGTAGAATTTTAGGTTTTCTAGACTTAATTGTCTAGCACTAAAAATTAATATTCAAAACATCATTGAAAATTTGTTAGGGATTAAGATGGCCAACATGAGGCAGCTAGAATGAGTTTCTCCTACAAGAATAAACCAAGATAGAGAGAGTTTTCTCAGCACTCAGAGAGGAATGGATCCAGCAGCATGCCCCCATGAATCTCCAAGAAAAGAAGAAAAATCCACCAACCTGGGTTGGAACTATCCAGATTCTTGCCTGCATCTTCACAGCTACCAGAGCTTCTGGATGCAATGGGGAAGCTGTGCTCTGCTGTGGGTGGTGCAGGAAAAAAGCTTTCAGCACTGCCAGCTGCCATGTTCCAGGCCCTCAACTCTTGCAGAGTGAAGAGGCTGCTTTCCAGCTGGCTTAGGAGGGATCAGGCCCCAAGAACATACCTCATGGCTGCATACAGTTCCTGACTGGGAGGTTGCCTGGGAACGCCTGAGGCTCTGAGGCTGGCTGCACCTTGACATTCAGATTGCAGATTGCCTGAAGTCAAGGCGGAAGCTAGATGGAATGCAGTGCCACAGCAACCTCTTACTCCCCTTGTGAACTCTTGTGTGCCTGCTCTGCATAAAAGCATTACCCCACTGGCCTGGGAATTCCTTTTAATCCCCACTGAGATAGCTAAGTGTGCACAATATGGGGTGCTTCAAACTCTTTACCCGGCAGTTCCCCCACAAAGACTCAAAACAGATAACTTGGAAAACCCCCAGAGCTCCTCCCTTGACCAAGGCTGGCTGGGCATTTTCTTGGAGCAATACTTATGAAGGAGAAACCTTATAGCTCTGATCACAGCTGACTTTCTTCCACAAGTGCCACCTCCTGGCCAGAGATTAAAAAAAAATACAGCCTACCAAATCAGATATAGTACCTCAGCTTTGGGGAAGGTCTGATCCCAAATGCCAGCTAATAACACTTTCAAAGCCATTCTGGCCACTCAGGATGCCATGAGCCAGTGCAGGTACAAAGCACAGGGCTGCCACAGCTAGCAATTGAGAAACTCACCACATCAAGGCTATATATAATGAAGGGAACCCTACAGTGCCTATGTCAGCCCCCTGGCAACCTCCTCACATGGGAAGAAATAGTCTACCCAAATGAGAAGTCACCAGAAAAATAATTTTGACAATATGAAAAAACCCAGAGTCCTCCAAAAGACCATACCACTCTTTAGCAACAAACCCTAACCAAAATAAAATTGTTGAAATTCCAGACATAGAATTCAAAAGGTTGATGATAAATTTGGTCAATGAATTTCAAGAGAAAGTTGAAAAACAACATAAAGACATTTAAAAAACTATTCAGGACATGAATGAAAAATTATTCAAAGAGATAGACACCTTTAAAAAAAAAAAAGCTGAAATTCTGGAAATGAAAGAAATATTTAAGGAAGTACAAAATGCACTGGAAAGTTTTAACAGTAAACTAGAACAAGCAGAAGAAAGGATCTCAGAACTTGAAGACAAAGTTTTTGAATTAATGCAGACAACATAAAGAAAAAGTGAATCAAGAGAATGAAACAAAGTCTCCAAGAAATGTGGGATTATGTAAAATGTCCAAACCTATTAAACATAGGTACTCCTGAGGAAGAAGAGAAAGCAACAGGTTTGAAAAATGTATTTGAGAGAATAATGGAGGAAAACTTCCCATGCCTTGCCAGAGATCTACACATCCAGATACAAGAAGCTCAAAGAACCCCCAGAAGATCCATTGCAAAAAGGTCACTCCCAAGGAATATAATCATCCAGCTATGCAAAGTTAATGTGAAGGAAAAAATTTTAAGAAAAGTGAGACAAAAACATCAAATAACTTACAAAGGTAAACCTATCAGACTAACAGCAGACTTCTCAGAAGAAATCCTATAAAACAAAAGTGATTGGGCCCCCCCTCTTTAATTTCCTCAGACAAAATAACAGTCAGACAAGGATTTTATATCCTGCAAAAGTAAGTTTTGCAAATGAAAGAGAAATGAAGTCCTTCACACATAAGCAATTACTGAAGAAATTTGTCACCACTAGACCTGCTTTACAAGAAATACTCAAAGGAGTTTTAAACACTGAAATAATAGACCAAAATACACCAGAAGAAAAATGATGGAAACCATAAAGTTCACAAGCCTTATGGAACACCAACACAATAGAGAAAATAAATAAATAGAGCAACCAGATAACAAGCAGTATGATGAATTGAATAGTACCTTACATATCATTAACTCTCAACATAAATGGTCTCATGCCCCACTAAAAAGATATAGACTAGCAGAGTGTAAAAAACACACCTAAATATTTGCTGTCTTCAAAAGACCTACTTAACTCACAAAGACTCCTGTAGACTCAAGCTAAAGGGGTAGGGCATAATAGTCTATGCAAATGGAAACAAAAAACAAGCAGGAGTAGCCATTTTCATATCAGATAAAACAGACTGTAAATTAACAACAGTTAAAAAAAAAAAGACAAAGATGGCTATTAGATAATGATAAAGGGATCAATCCAATGAGAAGACATAACAATTTTAAGTATATATGTGCCTAACACAAGAACCCCCAGCTTTATAAAACAAATTCTACTGGACCTAAAAAAAAGAGACAGACAGCAATACAATAATAGTGGGAGACTTCAACACTCCAATGATGGCAATAGACAGATCATCAAGGCAGAAAGTCAACAAAGAAACATTGGCATTAAACAAGACTCTAGAGGAAACGGAACTATCAGACATCGACAGGACACACCATCCCAAAACTATAGAATATGCATTTTTCTCACCAGCACATGGAATGTTCTCCAAGATGGATTATATGATAGACCACAAATCAAGTCTCAATAAATTCAAAAAAATTGAAATCATATCAAGCACCTTCTTAGACCACAGTGGAATAAAACTAGAAATTTGCTCTAAGAAGAAGCTACAAAACCAA